TCGGCCGCCTTAATAGCTTCGAGAGAGCGATAAAAGTACACAAATTGCACCAAAGCCTCTACTTAGCTCCGGAAACGCGATCATCTAAAAGACCACTTTTACCGTCCCTGCATACATGGATATGCGGTGATTACCCTCGATATGAAACCTAGCCATAGGTGAAGTGATAGAGGGGTCTGGCAAAGGTATAGGCCTTCCTTGTTTCATTCTGTAACCAAAAAATTAGTCGTCTAGCCTGTTAAAAGATTCTACAGTTGAGAGTCACACCAACCTTTCCATAATAAAGTGGAAATCTCCATCTCCCCAACTCTGTCGGCAATGGTGACAATTGCACCCCAGTTAACTGGCTACCTCTCCGATCGCCCAAAAGCACTGTCCTTTTAAAGTGCTAAGCACTAATGACAATGCTCTGGACAGTAGTCCACTCACTCACCGTTGCAGAGGTGTACTCTTTCACATCGTGGCTATTGGTGTGGGGATCGGTGGTGATTCCGGTCCAAAAGCAATCCTGGCACAAGTTGTACCTCGGACAGCGAGTGCATTTATAGCGCAGACCGACAATTGGCTCGCGTTTACAGCCCTCACACTTTAATGGATGTTGAACTGCGTGAAAAAGATGCATAAAAACTTCAGCATTGAGATTGAGAAACTACGGACACATGCAAATTACAAAAGGTTTACATTACACACTAGAAAATACAATTCGAAGGGATGAGGATGGGTATGGGAGGGTGTTCAGGAGGGGCAAATAAAGCCACCTCTGAACCACTAGCGCTCATATTTTCCTCCCAATTATTATCTTTTGGTCTTTACCGTTTACTGAAGTTTGGTTTTATGGCCAAATAGTTTAACTGCAAAAATACATCAACAATGACTCTTAGAGGAACGTATTTTGTACCATAAATTTGCATTCTTTTTTTCACCAGAAACTGTATGCGACTCCCGATTTTGTTTTTGGAAGGATGCAAGATAAAATCATCCATTTTGGGGATAAAATACCAGCAGCGAAGCTGATAATATCAGAGTTGGAGCAGTTTTTTTTTCACAAACCAACCGCAATTACGTGTTTTAGCCTTCTGACAATCAAAACCCTTTTTTTTCCAAATCCCCCTTTATTATGTCAGTATGAGGTGTGGCAGTCACCCCTTAATTGTTCTGATTCCCTTTTTCTCTAGTTAAAAAGGAGGAGGAGGGGTTTCCATTTTTTGGGAGGGGAGCAAAGGGAGGGAGAGGGGATTATATCGTTCCCCGCGCAAATGCCTCCTTCCCCTTCCACTCCCCACTCCCTCCCTCACTTTTCTTCTCGGCCTGGGTGCGTAAATGGGGAGCTAATTA